GCCTCTGTGCAAGTGCTTTATGGGACTTTCAAGGCTGAGCAGCCAAGGCAAGGTGATGCTCTTCCCTTCAGATCAAGGCTGAGCAGTCAAGGTGAGGTGATGCTCTTCCTTCAGATCAAGGCTGAGCAGTCAAGGTGAGGTGATGCTCTTCCTTCAGATCAAGGCTGAGCAGTCAAGGTGAGGTGATGCTCTTCCTTCAGATCAGGGCTGAGCAGCCAAGGTGAGATGAAGCTCTTGCCCTTCAGATCAAGGCTGAGCAGGCAAGGTGAGGTGATGCTCTTCCTTCAGATCAAGGCTGAGCAGTCAAGGTGAGGTGATGCTCTTCCTTCAGATCAAGGCTGAGCAGTCAAGGTGAGGTGATGCTCTTCCTTCAGATCAAGGCTGAGCAGTCAAGGTGAGGTGATGCTCTTCCTTCAGATCAGGGCTGAGCAGCCAAGGTGAGATGAAGCTCTTGCCCTTCAGATCAAGGCTGAGCAGGCAAGGTGAGGTGATGCTCTTCCTTCAGATCAAGGCTGAGCAGTCAAGGTGAGGTGATGCTCTTCCTTCAGATCAGGGCTGAGCAGCCAAGGTGAGATGAAGCTCTTGCCCTTCAGACCAAGGCTGAGCAGTCAAGGTGAGGTGATGCTCTTCCCTTCAGATCAAGGCTGGTGGCTGCACCCAGGACAGGCCTTCCCAGCACATCCCATTCAGGACTGGGTTTCCCCCAGAAAAAGCTGGGGGTTGCAGAGGGGTTTGTCCTGCAAACCCACCCGCATCTGAGAGCTCGAGCAGCTTCAACCCCGTCTGTTCCTCTCAGTCCCGTGTAGCTCCTGGGACTCTTAACAGTAATTTACAGCCTGTTTTACCCAGCTCTCAATGGCAAGAGGCTCGGGAAGCTGCCTGCTGGGGTCTGGAGGCAGGCACCTACCGGGATGGCTCTGACATGGATGCAAACACTCCCGAAAAGTGAGACCCAAGAGCTGAGACCTCCAGAGCCTCCCGCTTTCCCCGCTGCACACCGAGTTTGCAGGTACAAACCTTCACGTTCCCATTGAAGCTACTCCTGGATTTGGGAAAAGCTCATGGAATACGCTGAGGGAACTAAAGCTTTTAAAAGGCAACCTGAACAGCAGTCCCGGAGCAATCTGCTTCCAGCTACCGCTGCCCCTGGCTCTCCCTGCTGCACAGGACTTGCTGTGCCTGCAGCACAGGCTGTTTGCTCCAGCTGGGGTTGGAATGCTCTTGCCATGTAGACGATGCATTATATTTCCCAGGCTGACGTGCAGCTGATTCAGAAACAAGATTTAGCAGCACAAAAGTGCCGCTTGCTCTGGTGGCTCCCGACACCCCCGTGGCTCAGCTTGGCTCGTGCTGCATCTGCAGATTCCTGCCCAATCCGTCACCAAAGGGCCCTGATCCCGCAGCCTCAGCCCTATCCCAGCTCGCGGAGCTCTGCTCCCACTGCCATTGGGATGCGGCCCACAAGGGATTTAGGATTGCAGCAGACAAACCAAGCAGGAGGAGGCCCACACCAATGCCTTCAAGGCATTGCAGCGAGTTCGGTGCATACAAAGAGCCTGGATCACACAACCAAAGCCTTTTTGGATGATGTTCCCAAGGGATGTCGGCCCATCCTGCTCCATCTCACCGGCTACAGATCGCTGCGTGGCTGCACTGGAGAGAGGCAGAGGGAAGGGATGAGCATTGGCCATGTCATTACTGACAAGGGAGGGTATGAAACATGCACAGGAAGATACAGGCACTTCCTGCAAAGCCTGTATCCCGTTGGTACTCCCTGCCTGGATCCCTGTGGCTGGCCAAGCTCCCCACACCAGGAGCTGGGTCTGCCCTGCTCCTCCATCCAGCCAGGCCAGGCCAGTGATGACCAAAGCAGTGCCCGGTCCTTTGTGGGGCACTTTGTGGTCAGAAACAGCTCCCTCCAGCTGAACAAAGCCAGAGGATCCACGATGATGCCAAGGAATTTTTAGCAAGCCATGGGAAGCATCAATTGCTTTGCAAAGGGGCGACTGTTCATAGAGCAGAGAGTAACCGGAGCTCATCAGCAGATCAAGATCTGCCCTGGGAATGGGATATCAGCTCTCAGAGGACCAGGGTCCTCACCCCTTCCCGAGCAGCCCCCCCATACCCTGCTCTTCTACCTCCATTCCCAGGCCCACTTATCCCATTGGGCTGTTAACCAGCATCAACCAGCACTCCTTTGGGGCAGGGCCAAACCTCACCATGGCCGAGACCCTCTGAACACAGCCATGGGCCAGGGACACCCGTGTCTGGCTCCCAACATCCCCAGTGAGCTCTTGTCACCTCCATCACACCTGCACCTGCAGCCCCTGACACGTGCACGCACACACAAACACACACACAAGCTGCTCCTGGAATCGCTGCCTCTCCTCTGCAGCAGGGAGCTGGGACGTGCTCTAAACACACATAAATATTTCATGGGCAGAGAGAGAGGTTTTGCCATGACCCAGTTTTCTTTCCCCCAGACACTGGGTTGGCACCTAAGGGGATTGCATGGGGCAGGAGCGTGGCCAGTGACATGAACAACGCCCTTGGTGCTCATAGCAGCCCCAAACCAGGACAGGACATTTTCACTGCCTAATGCCTGGTCCTCTCAGGAGCTCAGTTTCTGCCTTGGTTCTATCTGAGCCAAGGTGGATACACTCCTGTGGATGCCCCACTACTGCTCTGTGATGGGAAGGTGGGAAGTGGATGCCCCATTTCCCTTTGAGGTGCAGGAGGAGCAGCTGGGATGCTCCAGGCAGGATCAGCCCCTTCACTGCAGCAGGGAGCTACATGGTACCCACCAAGAGCATCCCAGGCTCAGCACCCACCTCGACCTTGGCTCTTCTCCCCAGGGGCAGGGTGACCTCCCCAGGAGCACCGGCAGGGCTGAGGGTGCTGCTCTCCTGCTCCAGCACGTGGCAGAGTCGCATCCTCCAAAGGCAGCGCTGCCTTATCAATAATAAAAAGCAATTTCCCCAGACAGAGCCAGGAGCTGACGCAGCCCTCATCTGCTGCTGACAGGACGGGAAGAACTTTAATAAGATGTGATTTGACAGGAACACAAAACAACAACAGCATTAAAGGAAGAATAATGGCAAAGGCAGCTGTCAAAAACCTCATGTTCCCTAAGCAGGGGAGAGAAATCAAAGCTGTCAGGTCCCAGCAGAGGAGTGAAGGGCAGCTGAAAGGGAGGGCAGGACTGAAGCGGGCAGCAGGTACCACTGCCCATGGAGGGACCCGGCCACCACAGGAGCTCAGCTTTGGGCCAGGGAGAACAAGGGGATCCTCTGCAGCATCAACCTGGTGGAGACCCCAGTGTCACTGCAGCCAGCTCAGCACCACATCAACTCCATGGCCAAGGAACCCAGGGGAGGGAGAAGCACCACTGTGCGCTAGGGGCAGGGGGGGCAAGTAACTCTCCACATCAGTCAGGGCGTGCATCAGCCTGCACCACACACGAAGGAGCTGCTGCAGGGATGGGACCTGTCACCCTGATGGCTGCAGAGGGAGATGGAGATGGGCCAGATGCTTCTGCATCAATCTCTGTGAACACGAGCCAGATGACATCTGGTGGGGTTGAAAGAGAGAGATGAAAGGTATCCAGAGGAGCTGGGCTCTGTGCCACCTCCATGACCGGAGGTCTGTGGGCCAGGAGGTCACAGCAAGGATTCAGGCACAGTGTGGCAGTCCTGGGGCACCCACAGGAGAGCAGGGACCACCAACCCCACGGAGATGGCACTGCCGAGAAGAAGGGACACGTCTCAGGCAGTGCTGGGGTCCCTTGGCTCAGCATGGCTGCAAGAGCCAAGCAGGATGCAGCAGTGATTCCTGGTGGTCTGTTTCCAGAGCCCACTCTCCCCCCAGGCTGCATCCAGGGCAGATGCATCCCTGCTCACACCACTGCAGTGCAGCTACATCGTGGGGCAGCAGAGCCTCCACCAAAAACTTCTCTGGATCTGGCTGTGTCGGAGCATGCAAGGGCAGGGAGGGCCTGTATGATGCTACCAGCCCCCTGGAGCTGCTGCTGCTCCAAAAGCCAGTCACTAAAACTCAGTGAAGGGCTTGCTAATGCGTACGCCCAGGAAGACAAACAGGGCTTAATGAAGCCTTTCCTTTAAAAATATGGGGTTTAATTTAAATGCAAATTGGGTGCTGTGTTATGTGCAGGTCACCTGCGGTGACACACGGCTGAACTAGCAGGGATGAGCCTCATGAAGTGTGGGCAGAGAAAGGTGGGCCCTTTCCTGGGCATTTGTACCCTGCTCTGCAGAACAGCTCCTCGCTCTGCTCAGCCAGTCCTTTCCTAAGCCAAGCACGCTGCCAGGGATGCTCTCAGCAGGCTATTTGCTATTAATCGAGTAGGGCACATTTATTCCTGTATCCTGCAACCCCCCTTTTGGCATGTCACAAATCACAGCCCACCGCTCGATAGATGCGCCTGCAACATCCAGCATCAGGCAAAAGGGTATCAACAGTAAATCTGAGCAAGGATGAGGGAGATTTCTCTAAATGCTGGGGTGAATTACATATATAAGTCTTCAGAAGAGACATTAAGCCTAATGTGAAATCGAACCTTCAAAGTGATGAGCAGAGCCGTTATCCCCTGCGTTACACACAAGTTATGTGCAGGAGGATCTCATTTAGAGAAAATCTGCTTTTGCCAAGAGAGATGAGTTGGAATCCAGAGCCCTGATCCCTGCATCAGCGCTCTGGAGAGGGAGCTTTAACCCTTCCCTAAGCCCTGCTCTGCCTCTTGCCACTGCTGCCCACTGCACACGGACCCCCCAGTGCGGGCATGGAGCTGGGTCCCCCTTGGCCACAAAAGTGATGCTGGTTGTGACCTGGCTCCGTGCAGCACCAGGATCCCCCGCCAGGACTCAGCTCAGCCCCAAAGGGGTGGGAAGATTCTCCCCCCCCTGCTCTGCTGTGGCCACACTGCGGTCGGTCCATGTGCTTCCCTCTGCAGGAGGAGCCAGCAAGCAGCGTGCAATAAAACCCCTGATATGAGCCATTATCAGAGGGAAGTGGAAGCAGAGCAGCAGTGACCCTGCAGCAGTGGCCCTCAGGGCCTGTCAATAAACGCTCACAGTTTAATCAGCCTATGTCCCTGCACAGAGCAAATCAATAGTATCTCACTGGGAGAAAATGAGATAAACAGGAGCCTTTAAAGCGCTCCATTCCCTGCAAATCTAAACCCCAGCCCAGGACTGCCCCACAGGCAGAGGGAGAGAAGTCCCTTGATTAAGTGGTTGTCCCTTCTCTGGTTCTGTGTTTCCAATCCTGACTGGCTCCATGTGGCAGGAATGAGCAGACCCAGAAGCAGCTGGGTCAGACACAGGCAGGAAAAGCAGGGAGCCCAGGGCCTGGCTCTGCCCAGCGTGTGCTGGGTCTCTGGGGAGATGCTCTCCTCCTCCCTCAGGATCCATGCCCACGTACAATCACCCACCCTCCTAAAAGCACTGGGAACCTCCACTCCAGCACGCAGGCAAGACACAATGGGAACCAACAACCATTCGCTCACCTGGGGATCCAGACAAGCCATCACGGTGCATCCATGTGCTCAACGCTGCCCACACCAGCAGACGTCCGTGTGTGCTCTGTGCCATCGCCACCCAGCACTCCCGTAACATCTGGCTTCCCAAGGTGAGGTACCCAGCTTCCTGCTGCTGGTTTTCCCAGTTAGCTACTTCAGGGCAAAGGCTACAAAAAGTAGGATTTAGAGTTTATTGGTTCCCTATCCTCTTGTCCGCCTATAAATGCCTCCATTCATTCTGAAAAAGGATCCCATGTCTCTTCCAGCTTCCTATGTGTAGTGAGCAGCAGCCCAGAGCCTGGGGTGGGGTCCTGGCACAGGCCTGCCCGCCCAAAGCTGGAGCTCTCACAGTCCCAACGGCTGCCTTCTCTCCCCATCTCCACTATTTGCTTATTCCCTTGTTGAGCACATACCCTGAAGGACCTGAAACATCTTGATTTGGTAGAGGGCGAAGCCATCACCCCACAAAGAGAGGTGACCTTTCCAATTGGGAGCCTGGAGGGACCCCAGGGACAGAGGAGGCTGTTCCCAGTGGGAGCCCCTCACCAGGGCTGTGGCAGCTTGGAGAGGTGGGCCCAGCCCCAGCTCTCTGCCCCCTTCCCCTGGTTGTCACTGGGTCACCAAAGCCATCAGGGTGACAGGCGGCACCACTGCTGAGCCTGGAGACTCATGTGAAGGAGGCAATCTCCTGAGGGAGAGGAGGAGCAGAGGAGAATCTGGCAGGCAGGAGGGAAGGTGGTTTAATGAGGTATCCAGTATGTTCAACTCCTGAAGGATTAAAGCAAGGAAGGGATAGGATCTTCCATAAGAAGTCAGTCATTAGCGAAGCCCCAGGGTAGATGCAATTGTTTTCTGGTTTTTTCCTCTCTTTGATGACCCAGTTTTTTTAATCTCATCAGTGCCAGGCTTGTGTTAATTTTTAAAGATGCTTGGGTAACTGAGAACATTAACTATTCATGATCTTATCTTCAATAGGTGTTTGCTCGCTGACACCCAGCCAGGCTTGAGATGTACCTAAGGAACCAGGGAGCTGAACTTACCGGGGAAGGCAACAGCTGGTTTTTCCTGAGCATCTTGTTGAAGTGATCACAGGCTGGGTGGGGTTCACAACACTCCCGGCTAAATCAGGGCTCCTGGGGCAGGCTGGTATCACCAAGGCCATCCCTTGCAATTGCAGTGCCTTGAAAAGATGTAAGAGCACACAGAAGGCTGAGGGCTGGGGAGTGCTGTGGACACCGAGGGTGCTGCAGCTGTGGTCCCCTGGGATGCCCTAAATCAGTTTGCAAATCCAAGGGAAGCCTCCAGAGCTGGCTGGAGGTGGCAGCCAGGTACAGCCCAGGTTAGCTATTAGCACAGATCAGGAATGTGAGCTGAAGAACGGATGGAGAGCCCTTGAACTCCTATGAAGGGAGCCAACAGACATAATGACATTTAGAATCGTGGAATGGTCTGGGTTGGGAAGGACTTTCAGAGCTCATCCGGTCCAACCCCCCTGCAACGAGCAGGGACATCTTCCACTAGACCAGGTTGTCCAGAACCACATCCAGCCTGGCCTGGAATGTCTCCAGGGATGGGGCATCCACCACCTCTGGGCAAGCTGTGCCAGGGTTTTCCCACCCTCAGTGTAAAGAATTTCTTCCTCACATTCAACCTGAATCTCCCTCTTTAAGTTTAAACCCATCACTGCTTGTCCTGTGGCAACAGGCCCTGCTCAAACGTCTCTCCCCATCTTTCTTATAGGCCCTTTTAAGTACTGAAAGGCCACAATAAGGTCTCCCTGGAGCCTTCTCTTCCGCAGGCTGAACAACCCTAAATCTCTCAGCCATAATTTGCCTGGCTTTGCTTTCTGGGTGTTCCAGTGTATGTCCCCAGGGTATGACACACTCCCCTGGGTGTGGGAGCAGCCACAGGCCACAAGGAATTGGGCAGCGCTGCCAAAGTCACCACACACTGCTGCAGGGAACCGAGCACTGACCCAAGGTGAGGCTGCCAGGCAGAGGAGCAAAGGTGGGAAAGTATCAGAGCATGAACCAGCACAGGGATAGAAACAACCATGCAAAGGAACAGAAAACTTACACTGGTTTCAGGAGGGCTGGGAGCTGGACAGGCAGAAGTCACAAACCTCTCCCTGCTTGCAGTGGGTACGTGGGACATGCTCTCACCAACTCACTTGTGCTGATAGCTTGTTCCTGGGAAGAAAATGTTGGTACTTCCAAGGATCCGACCATCAGGACTGAGATGGGAACGCAGAATCAGGAATCTCCTGGCCCCGGAGGCAGCAGCACCGTGGGAGAAGTATCAGCATCTTCAGGAAAGGGCACAGGGTGTTTCTATGGGAAAACAGGAAAGAATCACAGAGTCAGAGAAGGCTTCAGGCTGGAAGGGACCTCTGAGGTCACCTTGTCCCACCCTCTGCTCAAGCAGGGGCACCCAGAGCCACATCCAGAAACCAACTTGGACTGTACTTTATCCCCCTGTGAAAATTAAATATCATAGAACAAAAATGAACGACTTAACTTGCAGCTAACACCAGATGCTCAATGTACATAGCTTTTTATTGACTGAAGGTATATTACAATAGACAAACGTATATTACACATGCTATACAAAATATACATTCTTATGTGGAAAAAAAAAGACATAAATAGACATTAGGCAATAGCAACAGAGCACAAGGGCAGCTTTGCCCACGCTCTCTCATGAACCCCCACCTCCTGGTGCTTTGGCTTTGATTGAAGAAACTGGTTGTGTTTAGTGGGAACAGTGGAGGTCCTGTCTGTACCTCCTGCAGAAAAGAGACCTGATTTCCTCTGCAAGTCTGCTCAGAAAGTTTCTCCAACAATGCTAAGCACAGCAAAGTGTTCACCTACTTACAAGCTTCAGCTATTTACAACCAGCTTATGGACTTGAAAGAGATATCATTGCTCATGGGAGGATGCAAATGTCCTAATACATAACAGCAAGTTTTATAGGCCAGTACCTCACAGAAATGAGTGCAGCTTTGGCTCCTGGTGCAGGCAGCATGGATTTTAAAGCCTTGGTCCTGGCCAAGCACATCTTACCTACCCAAAGGGAATTCAATCGCAGTAGGGAGCTGTGCCCAGCGTACACCTGAGGTCCACATCAGCAGCTGCACTGTGATACATCTGTGTCAGCTTCAGCTCCACAGGAGAGGGGGATGAAAGGAAAAGTAAGAAACTTTACCATTTGCCAAAGGGTGACGGGAGACAGAGCAGCAGGAGGGTGCTGGTGGGAATCCTGGCTCTGCACACGCTGAGCAGCACTTAAGCCACTACAGCCTGGGATGATAGCTGGAGAAGGCAGTGAACAGCCCAACGGATGAGGCTTTTCTGCTGCTGTAGTTTCATGGCATGACCTTTCTCATCTGGATTTAAACTGACAGTACTGGGTTCCTGCAAGAGATAACTTTGGACTGAAATAAGCACCATGTCTCAGATGCTGTTTGGAAAGGAAAAGGCCAGAGGAAATAGAAACCAGAAAGGAATGAACTGAAGATTCTTCTTTTTGGCATGTATGGTATTACAACATTCCAGGTGTCAGAGCCCAAAAAGAGTTTAACACACCTGTGCTCTCTCTTCTTTATCCAGAGGTCAAGGACAATTGGATCCTCTTCCTACTAAAGCTGCTGGCTATCAAAGCAACCATGGTTGCTTTAAGAGCATGTTAAGAGCCCTTGATAATACTTGCTCATTTGTATAGATCTGACTCTTATTCATGGCCAAAGAGCAGTGGGGAAACAATCATTATTCCCAGCTTTCCCTCACTCATTTACTCAAATAATCCACAGTCTCACAAGTTTCAGCTGTGATTCTGCATGACTGCATCGGATACTCCAGTCATGCCCCCTTCCACTGAGGAGTGGACTGGTGGGACGCCTTACACACCTGGCCAGAAGAGGGGTTTCAGTCTTTGTAAGTATATAAAATACACCACATGGCTGTTTCCATTTCAGTTCCTATCCTACAGCTTGGAAAAATGCAACAATGACCAGGGAGAAAGCTCCTTGCTCTTCAGGAGTGAGTACACGACCTAATGTAGCAGCATTAGCACTGAGCACAAGGACCTAATGTTGAAGCATTAGCACTGAGCACAAGGACCTAATGTAGCAGCATTAGCACTGAGCACAAGGACCTAATGTAGCAGCATTAGCACTGAACACAAGGTACCTGCTGAAAACCCATTCCTGATGAGTAACACCTCCTACACAAAGGGGCATTTTTTTTCCAGGAAGTCTTTATGCAGAGGAAACAGAAAATCCACAGCATAGTTCACTAAATACTTAGCAACTGCTTGCCCCATTCATCTGATGCTTTCCATCACAGCATTCCTTTAAAAAGTTCCCTTAACTGCCAGCTAGGAAAAAGACATGGAGACATCTGCAACACACACAATACACAGGCTGGTTTTCAGATAAAAGCTTAGATAAACTCCTGAAACAAACCACTCAGACTTCCCATTTTACCAGGGAACCAGGAGGAGACACGTAGTGCACTGCCCCTTTTGTTTGCTTTTGACAAGAACTTCTCAGAAGCTGGATACTACAGCCAGGAGTACCAGAATAACACTGCTTCTTAATGCAGGGTCTGTTGGGCTTGTCACTCTACTGGACAAGACAGGTGCCCAATACAGAGATTTAAGGACTTTCTCAACACTTAAACGGATCAAACTTGGAATTCTGCTCTGTCTCGAGATGGAGCAGCTTGCAGTCAGCTCGGCCAGGCTCAATGCATGCAGAGCTGTACAGAACAATGCAATTCATCAATATCAGCGTTTCACCACGTATCTATAGTAAATTCACTGCTTTCCAAACCAAAGACAGCTCTATCCCCTCAGAAACAAGCTTCCAGTCCCACTAACAACCCCCGTATGGCTTGATATACAGGTGTCCAGAGTAACAGTATGATACAGACTTTGGCATAATAAAAAAATCTATTTACATTACAGCCAACACATTTATATGCTTAGTGTATACAAAATATTTATAAATGCAAATTTATTTACAACTAGAGTCCATTATTCAGAGGAGCAAACAAGACCCGAAGTCAGACTGGTGACAGGGGCCTGCTAACAGCCTAAGGAACATAAAGCTGGCCAAGAATTTTATGCTTACAGATACTGGAGAATTCCATGAGGAGGCCCTGAACATTGGTTTTCAAGCAGACAATGCAGTGGGAAATAGCTATGCATCCTTGAGGGATTTTTCAAAGCATGCACCAACACAAAGGCTGCTTCCAGCATCAGAAAATCCTCGTTTTAATGCTATTGTAGATAGCACTCATCATCCATGTGTTCTGTTACACATTCCCATCTTCCAATCCACAGAAATCCAGGGGAAAAGGGCGCGTGCCACCTCCTCCTAGACAGTCTGTTTAGCCAGCCCGTGACTGCAGACACACGTACACAAGCATCTTTGGCCTTGGGGTTAGTCCTGAGGTAGTAAATACAACAAGTCAGTCGGTACAGATTTGCTTTCAAGACTCCATTCGAGTGTCTTACGTGGTTTCACTATAGTCATGAATGCTGCGTGTCCTCTTAAAATCAAAGCTCCGCTCCCGGCCGCGGGGACAGGCTCCGGATGGAGCCGCCTGCTCGCGGCTGCTGGCAGCAGCACCCTCGCTGTGGGGAGGCCGTGGGGTCTCCCGGCCTGGCTGCTGATGCAGGAAGTGGGAGTGAGGGAGAGCCACGTCTTTGTTCACTCCCCATAGAGGGAGCTGGAAGGGTTCTGGGGAAGAGAAAGGAAGAAATCAGAAGATGAAGAGGAGTTAGTTCATGCTAAACACAGCCAAATTTGAACACAGATTCCCAGAGTCACGCAGCTCCAGTATCAGTCTGAGGTTATTTTCTCTTTTCCAACCCTACCCATTCTGTGATTCTATGAGTCTGTGTTCTATTGGATGCTCTCCCTTTTCAGCAAGCTGTTACAGCAAGCAGAAAACAGCGCACAGAGTGTCGTTTCAGTGTGAACTTTGAAAAGGCTACCTGGAAGAAAGTCAGCATCAATCAGTGTACCAAAAAATAAAAGCAACTTTTGGAGCTCTCTGAAAAGCAGGCCAGCTCAAACAGAAGGCCTGCTGGAATTTCTTAGCAAAGCTCTTGGCTAACAGATGCCCTTGAAGCACGTGTAAAAGATCACATTCCACAAGCTTTTAGAGACGAACTGCAGATTAAGAAATACCATCTTTTTCACATCACCCTCTTCAACTGTTGGGTACTGGATGCCAACTGAGGGCCAGTTCTGAGAACATTAAAGATGTGAGTTACTCACAAACTACAGTCACTAAAAGAATTAGCTGTGTGTCAACAGGGAAGGGTAGCACAAAGAAGACTAGAGTTATCAGGGAATACAAAGCAACAAAAGGAAAAAGAGGACACTCACCACTGATCTGCTGGGAGGAGATTTTCTTTTCACTCATTTTGTCATGGTTGGTAAGGAAGACAGACATGTCTCTGTCTGCTAAGAGATTATCCAAAGTACCGGTTTCATGCTGGGGGCGTGCTGTATACGTTTCCTTAGACATCTGCACCATGAGGTTAGGGAGAGTTTGATCCAGGGGGTCTTCTTCTGCGATGTAGGCATAGGGACAGTACTCTCGTGTCCTGGAGTAGATGTTTGCGTTGTCGTAACAGTCTGAGCAGATCACCAGTGGTGCTGCACCACCTGATAAAGGCAATGAGAAACCAAAATACTCTCAGAGAGGATAAGGATACTCAATTCCCAGACTCTTTTCATGTCTTCGGATGATCATGCCTGAAGGGTTTTTATACAGTTAACGTGGTAACAGAGTACTTAGCTTGACTGTTAACTGAAGAAGTCACAGAAGAAATGCTCTAGGTTCCCCACCACCCAAAGTCTCCATAACACTGCCCTTCTAAGGCTGACCAGTGGAAAACCATGGGCATGAGCGTGAGTAATCTCATGTTTGCTCCCCTGTCCAATGCAGGTCTGACCAGCTTAGGAACCAGGCTGAAACAGCCCTGGAATCAAACCAGGATACCTATCCACATCAGCTTATGCTCTTATACCAGACTGGCATCCTGCATGCCCAGAAGACAAAGTGGTCACCAAGACGAGATGATTCTCAGCTCCTTCCTGATAAGACTCTAGTGTAGAGTCTAGATCTGAAGGATCACTTTTAAAAGCCAGCTTATATAAGGATTGAACAGATCCTCAGCATTTGGGTGGTAGAAGATAGCATCACTGTTTACTCAATGACATAAATACCCTGAGGTCGTTCAGCTAAACTGCAGACCCTTTAGTTATGCAGACTATGTCAGGCAGAGGCAGTAATTTTATGCCAAGGACAAATGGTACAGCA